ACAAAAAATTAATGGAAAGGAAAGGGAAAGGGATTCATATCAGAACAATCGATCGATCCCATCGTGGCTCGAATACTGGAACCCACTTGAACAACTAAAAATATGTAAACCAATTTCAGTGACATTTGGAAACATCACCGAAAATCGTCGAATATGCAATGTTTCTTGATTTTTGTAATGATTGTATCCAAGTAATTTCAAAATTTATCACAATATAAATACAAATATATATGGTATAAATACATATAAAATGATACAAAATATAAGGATTTGCACTCTATATATTTGTATTTCTTGGATTTTATTCTCACTATGGGTTTGATTGGTCAATTACATGAGAAATTGCACTTGTACATTTGTTTTAAAAAACTTCCCTCTTATTAAAATCAGTTATGAACTTGTCCCACATTGGAAAATTACAAATTTTGTTTTGAGTTTTCGATAGGAGCTGATTTACACTACTTAGAAATAGAAGAGGAGAGTATGGAGGATTGCTATTGCGCAATGCACGCGCATGGGTATGTGTGGCGCAATGACGCGCACTTTGCTCGCACTTCAGAGTCTGGATCTCCTGCCCACAAGAACTCTTCCCATGCTTATCGCATTTCGGAGTCTCAATTCGCAGCTTTAGTTTTAGTGTGATGCTGACCATTGATGTGGTCAACGGTCACGATTCAATCGGGTGTGATCAAGAGACACAATTCAAAGTTAACAGTCATTAACTGTTAACAATCATTAACTGTTCAAGGTGCTTTTCTCTGAACCAACACTTTCCTTTTCTTCATAACTCTTAAGAAACTATTTAAGGAGCATCAATCAGATATCTCATATACAACTTCGAAATTCACTCTCTCTCTCTCTCTTTGTGCGGTCTGTTATAGTCTCACAGAAGGTTTCTTTGGAGACTACTTTGTTGGTTGTAGATTCTCGCTCAAGGCTCTGTTGTATCTTGGGAACGGATTTGCTTGTAATCCAACAACAATTTCAATAAAAACTGAGTGGGGGCAAATAACGTTCTAAAGACAGTGTCTTCAGACACGCCTCAGAGCTTCTCCTCCAAATTTCAATAACCCCATTTCGTAATAATATTTATACTCCATCCAAACTGAGTCTTAAGCTTAGAGTGTAAATACATACAAATATATGTACAAATATATATACAAATACATACAAATATATGTACAAATATATTTATACTCCACCGAAATTGTACATATTTGTATTTGTACAAATACATATAAATACAAACATATACGGTACAAATATATACAAAACAAAAGATTTTGCATTCTATAATAAAAATTTGTATCTGTCCAAACTGAGCCTTAAAATAGGATAAAGGTTGGTATGACGTTCTCCCTTCTTCCAGCCTTCCGCAATGAATACAAGTAATATTACTCTCGGGATGTGAAGTTTTGTCATAAAAACCAAACCATGACGTCTACGTAATGACGACTCCATGATCGTCAATGCAAGTTGCTGTATGACCTCAGTCAGCATTACGAACGAGTATGACGACGACCTATATAGCTAGTGATAGTGAATTAGAAGCTCCTAAGAACTTTTCTTTCAAAATTCAAATATGGTAGGCCGGTGGGATTGTTCAGTTGTTATCATAAGGACTAAAGTCTTTTCTCTTGCCCAAATGCAAGATGTTATGTATTTTATAAAGTTCTATCTATTAATTAAGGAACGAAGGAAATATTATATTAAAATAGGGAAATTTTTTTTGGCTTCATTTGCTTTTCAGTAAATTATTTATCTGGATAAGTTTTTTTTGGGAAACACTTATCCGAATAAGTATATTTACCTATATTCTTTTATTTATCAAATAAATAAATTAAACTAATGACTATTTTACTCATAAAAATTCATTATTAAAGAGGGCAAGAGAAATACCCAAGGGGTAATATTATTATTATTTTAGGGTCATTTATTCCTTATAATTTCACATCATTTTTAATTATTAAGACCTGCCTTACTAAGAACCCCCCCCCCCACCCCCCCACATTATTTTGCAACCGTACCGTATCAAGGAAATGTAAAATGACATTTTTGGCCCTAATGTCCTTTCATCCAAGCTTTACCTCAATTATATGGGCTTTGCTATATGAAACATATTTGGCCATTATGAATGATATTTGGTCTACTATATTATGATGTTTTTGACCAAAATTATTAGAAGAAAAGAAATAACTAATATATCAATTTGAAATAATAGAAAATGGAAAGTATAACAGACATTAAGAAATATTTTTCTATTAATGTTTATTTTACTTTTATTTCTGTTTTCATCCTTTATTTTTACTTTAATTTTTATTTTTATTTTTCCTCCTTATGTTGTTTGGTTTACATAATAAAATTAATTATGCAGGCCAAGGCAAGGTTTTATTTCTAAAAGGGTGATATAAGACTTTTTATGGGTATTTTGGGAATAAAAACCATTCCCAAATAGATATATAGAGAGTTCTCAATGGAAAATGCATTAAGTAAAGTGGTTGCAAATCCTAGCTCATTGTGCACGTAACGGGTGGATTCAAGTTGAGCCGAGCCGAGCCAAATAGTTGGTTATTCGAGCTCGGTTTGCTGAAATTGTGTTAGGCTCAAGCTTGAGCCGAGCTAAATACTTGGTTATTTGAAGTTGGCTTGCTGAAATTGTGTTGGGCTCGAGTTCGATCTTGATTCAAGCTAGAGACTTGAGATCAATCTCAGCTCAGTTCAAAGCTCGCAAGTTCGAGCTCGAGCTCAATTCAAACTAGAGACTTGAGCTCAAGCTCTTCTCGGTTCAAAGCTCGCAACTTTTAGCTCGGCTTGAGCTCGACTGCAAGCCAAGTTTTTTTCCAAAAAATAAAAGGTATACATATAAAAATATTTTTTATTTTACATACGAAAAATTAAGAATTATAAAATTTATTTATTATTATACATATAAAAAATAAAAATATACATATAAAAAAATGTTTTTATTTTACATACAAAAAATAAGAATTATAAAAATTATTTACTATTATACATAAAAAATAAAATATTATTATATATAATAAAAATTATTTATTTTATATGTATGCGTGTATGTGTGTGTATAATAATAAATTATTTATTTATTATACTACACTTGATTAGACTCGCGAGCCTCACGAGTTAAGCGTCACCGGGCTTGAGCTTGACTCGATTATCAAACAAGCCTATATATCAAGTTCGAGCTCAACTCGAAACTCGGTTTAAACTAAGTCGAGCCGAACTTGTCACAAGCTAAGATCAAATAGCTTGTGAGAAGCTCGACTCGTGGCCATCCTAATACACATCATTATGAATTATTAATACATATCATTATTATCCAGTGCCACGTCATGTCCCTATCACTGCCACCTCATGTCCCTGTTGGCAACAATGAATTACAGCTCCAGAAAACGTCAAATTCCACATTGTTCCAAATCACACATTTTTAATTTCTAAGACATAGCTTGGAGCACCATTTTATGAAAAAACAGTTCGAAACAAATTGGCATTTTCTGAAACACCATTTTTTTGACATGGCGCTAATGTATCACCGTTTTCTAGAGCAACGACAACTTTGTATCCATGTGTTGACTGGCTTCGTCTTAGTCGTGATTTCATTCCACTTTTAAACTCTGTTAGACAACCCAATTGTAATATCTATCTTTCTAGAGAGAGAGGAATCATTCCAATTGACACGCAAAACCCTATGAGAACAGAAATTAAAAATACAAAAACTAATAGTTATAATATATGTGTCAAAACCTTGTTTAATTTATGTCAATATAACTCATATGAAACGAACAGTGATTTCACACACTAGCATTTGCCTATAAAATATAATAATATCATTTATTAAATTTTTGACCAGGTCAATGTTCTTGGGAACCAGGTAATATTTTTAAGTAAAGATTCGATTCTTCTCGTGGTCATCGTGTCCTGTCCACACTAGCCAGGGGGCGTCAACGATGTGCAGAGAAAGATAATTAGTTATTAGTCTTGTCATTTCATACCTATTGAAGAAGCTGGGGTTCCAATAGTGGCCCAAAGATTTTTTTCCTAATTATAGAAGTATTTATTATTTTTTAATTTTTTATGGTAAATTGCTGAAATCTGCTTTGGTAACTAAAATCACCTCTCATGAACTTTTAGTATAGTTGTAAATAGACTCCTTTATTAGAATCTTATAAAAAAAGGGTATGAAAATATTCAAAATACTCATGCAGTTACTTTTGATCAAAATGTTTATTTTTCCAAAATTTAATTTTATATGAATTGTTAGGTCAAACCCTTTCTATCTTTTTTCTAAAATTGATTGCTCAAATGTAAAGATTCAACTTAAAATTCTCTATTTTTTTTATTGTTTATAAAGCTTGTATTATTTTTCTGTATAAGTCATTCCCAATAGTAATTGCATGGATATTTTAGACATTTTTGTCTCTTTTCAAAAGATTCTAACAAAAAACTATTTTATTCAAGGGAGATGATTGCAATTATCAAACTTGAGGGGAGGTTTCAACAATATACCCTAACTTTTATAATATTTCAAGAAATAAAGATTATTCCGTAAAAGGACAGACTTGAATCAACTCTGTCCTTGAATTATGAGGTACAGCAAAGCTTGCAGAATATAGCACTACCTCCACTGAAACGGAAGATTTGAAAAGTACCACAACTATGACTTATTTTCAGTTTTTGGACAAAATATCGTTGAACCCTTGTCTCATGGGTCTAGGTCATGCTTTTTCTTTTGTCTAAGTCATGCTCACAATAGACGGGAAGAAAGAAAACAAGATGAACTCATGGTTTGGTCTAAAGGAAAAGGAAATCATACAGAAACGAGAAATTTTGGTCTATAAAAGATGAACTCATGGTTTCATTATCTGATACCAATTACCTCTGAGGAGCGTTAAGTTAACCACAGCTCTCTCAAACTGTTGAATTGAATTCCTGGCTGCAACTATATATCAAGCAGTTGTTGCCTGCATGATTAACAAATCAGCATGGGCAGATCATCAGAGGCTGTGTTTCTCTTGTTTTCGTTGCTCTTCATGGCAGCCATCAACCGGAGTTTCAGCACTGCCGACTTGGTTTGCAGCACCACAGAGAGAAAAGCTCTTCTTAACCTGAAAAAGGGTTTCAAAGATCCTTCAAATTGGCTCTCCTCTTGGGATTCAAACAACAGAGAAGATTGTTGTAGATGGAAAGGAGTAGGCTGTGACAACAGAACTGGGCATGTTGTTCAGCTCAAGCTTCGAGGCTCAATCCTAATAAGGTCACTGAGTGGTGAGATAAACCATCATTTGCTAGAGCTGAAACACTTGAGGTATTTGGATCTAAGTGGTAACGAATTTGAAGGAAATCAAATTCCAGATTTCCTTGGTTCACTCCAGAAATTGAGGTACCTTAACCTCTCCAACTCGGGTTTTGGCGGTGTGATTCCTCCTCAGTTTGGAAACCTTTCTAGCTTGCGTTATCTCGATCTCAGATTCTGTAATGCATTAAATGTTGACAATCTTCACTGGGTTTCTCGTCTTTCCAGTCTTCGATACCTTGACATGAACTCTGTGGATCTTCGTCTGGCACACGATTGGTTACAGGTAATAAATATGCTTCCTCACTTATCCCAACTATATCTGTCTTCCTGTCAACTCTCCAACATTCCTCCACTCTCCATTGTTAATTTTACTTCTCTCGTCGTCCTCGATCTTTCCTGGAATAAATTTGGTTCCACCATACCAGATTGGCTATATGACTTGACTAGTCTCGAACATCTCATCCTTGACTTCAATAAATTTCAGGGTACACTTTCACCCAGAATTGGTAACCTCACTTCACTCACAGAGGTGAGTATTTATGACAATAGCCTTAATGGCAGCATCCCAAGTACGGTGGCAAATCTTTGTAACTTACGAACTCTGATATTGTCCCTGAATAGATTCAGCGGGGAAATATTTAGGTTTCTGGGAAATTCATCTGGATGCATGTCGAACAGTCTAGAGTCACTACGCCTGGAGTGGAATCAATTGAATGAAACTATTCCAAAAAGCATTGGAAACCTTTCAAGGTTAGAACTCTTAGACATCTCTGGGAATCCCCTCCAGGGTATTGTCTCAGAAAATCATTTTGCCAGACTCATCAGATTAAAAATTTTGAAAGCATCTTCAGTGCCGTTGTCATTGAACGTGAGCACCAGTTGGGTTCCACCTTTCCAACTCTTCAACATAGAGGTTGGATCTTGGAAACTAGGGCCCCAGTTCCCTGCATGGCTTCAAACACAGAAGGATTTCAGTAGGTTAAACTTGTCCAATACAGGAATTTCAGATACCATTCCTAATTGGTTTTGGAAATTGTCTTCTCAGATATTCTTTGTAGACCTGTCTCACAACCAAATCCATGGTAGCTTTCCAGGATTGTCGAGAATACAAGCTGATAGTGCAGCAATATATTTAGGCCACAATCGCTTTACTGGACTACTACCCCGTTTCACTTCTGGTGTAGTTGAACTCGACCTTTCCAACAACTTGTTTTCTGGGTCTATCACCCATTTCCTTTGTGATCAGTTCAGTGAACCAAATTTACTGGAATATCTTGATCTCTCAAACAATCTTCTGTCAGGAGAGATTCCAGATTGTTGGATGAACTGGCAATCGCTGAATGTGCTGAATCTGGGGTACAACAACCTAAGTGGGAACCTTCCAAAATCCCTTGGTTCTCTAACCGAGCTCCAGTCATTGCACTTGCGTAACAATGGGTTGATTGGAGAGTTACCTTCATCACTGCAGAATTGCACAGAACTGTTGTTTATCAACATTGGCCAGAATGAATTCTTTGGAAGGATACCAGTGTGGATAGGACAAAGCCTACCAAAATTGATGGTCCTTAGCCTACGCTCAAATAAGTTCAATGGTAGCATACCGCTTGAAATTTGCCATCTCAGTGGTCTTCAAATCATGGACCTTTCGCATAACAAGTTGTCAGGATCCATACCTCAGTGTTTTAACAACTTCAGTGCCATGGCTTCTGATCAAAAGTCAAGTGGCTATATTGGTTATGTAAGCAGTTTTCTGGACTTCATAGAAACAGCATCGTTGGTGATGAAAGGAATGGAACTTTATTATAGTAAAACCCTCACCCTTGTAACAAGCATGGACCTCTCAGACAACAGTTTATCTGGTGTGATCCCTGAAGATTTGACAAGACTTTTAGGGTTAAGGTCCCTCAATCTTTCACTAAACCATTTGGTTGGAAGGATCCCACAGAAGATTGGTGAAATGGAATTTTTGGAATCCCTCGACTTTTCATCAAACCAACTTTCTGGTGTTATTCCTCAGAGCTTGTCCAATTTGACCTTCCTGAGTCACTTGAACTTGTCAAATAATAATTTGTCAGGAAGAATTCCATCTGGCACACAAATTCAAGGTTTTACTGCATCCAGTTTTCTTGGTAACAAAGGACTCTGTGGATCTCCACTCACAAAAGGCTGCACTGGAGATGATATGTCCCAAATTCCAACGGGTGGTGGTGGAGCTGAAGGAGATAAAGATGACAATGGAGTAGGAGTGGCTGCAGATACTTTTTTCATTGCCATGGTTTTGGGGTTTGTGATGGGTTTTTGGGGAGTCTTCGGTCCTATTTTATTCATCAAGTCATTGAGGTTTACATTCTTCCGATTCTTGGATAGAGTGAAACAAAATATTCATGGTGGTATGATCAGATGTTGATGAAATCATAAATTGTAAAATCCTGCAACAAACCAATATTTGTTTTCTTTTTTGTATTTGGATCCTTAGTTTCTGTATTGTTTCGAAGCTCATGTAACTTCTCCATAAATAATGTGATAAGCAGAAGTTTTTTTTTTTTTGAAGATAAATAAAGAAAAAATTTTGTTACTGAAAAGAGTTTACACATCTCATAGGTGACAAGAGGTCGAGGTCACCCGACCCCCAAGAAACAAATCAAACAAAACAGAACAGACTTAATCAAAATACATCCAAAAAAAAAAACCCAGAACTAAGCATTCAAAAAGTCTGCCCCAAAATATTCTTTCTTTAGTCCTTGAAAATCTGGCATGATTAAAATCCGGCCAACCTATTACTGAAGAACTGATTCGAGCCACCACCTCTTCCCAACTTTTTTCCATGTTCTCAAAAATTCTTTTATTTCTTTCCTTCCAAACTTCCCAGCACACCGCAAAAGGAATACAATTCCACAGAATCTTGACCTTGGAACCACCCTGAACTCTTGGCCAACATCCAAAGATTTCAGGCTGATCTGAAATTGACCACCGATCCCTCTTAAACAGATTGAAAAAATAGGACCATATTGAGGAGATGAAGCTGCAACTATAGAACAAATGCGATATCAGAGCCATTAATTACCAATGTAGATTATGCTTTAAAAAAAAAATCAGTGTAGATTATTATATCAGAGCCATTACCATGAGGTCATCATCTCCCTCTGTTATTCATTCTACAAATAATGCATCTTATCTCATTTTATTAATCCTTCTACAAATAATGCTTCTCATCTCCCTCTATTCCATCTTCTTCGCTGTTTCAGTGTTTCTACTGGTCACTTTAAAATTTACTCTCTCTCTCTCAAAAAAAAAAAAAAAAAGTGAGAACTTTATTAATGATGATGAAAAAGGGGGCATAAGACCTGACCCTCAAGACTATATAAGGAGCAAAAGCCCTATAAACCAATGTTTTTGAATTACCGTTGACTCAGACAGTTGAACCGTTTGGCTCGAGAATTGTTCAGGCAATCGGTTTGTTTTACCCAAAATCCGGTTTTTGGTCAAAAACTGTTAAAAAGGTCAACAACCCATTGATCCGGGTGATCGAACCGTTGATCGGATCAACGGTTTTGACCATTTTTTATTTTTAATTATTTTGTTTATTTTTAAATTTGTTTGTCAGAATGAACCATCCATTCAAACCGGATGGTCAAACCATCGACCCAGAAACCGGTAGTCAAATCCGAGTTATTTTTTAAAACATTGCTACAAACAAACAAAAATATAAAAACAAAACAAAATCAATAATAATAGGGATGATATCCTTTGTTTGTCTTTTATGATATCCAAACTAGTTCTAATGGAGTTGTTTGCTAGACCTTCTTAGATTTAAGATTTTTTTTTTTTTCTTTATGTTTTCCATCTTCACCCAGTCTTGATTTGGATCATTTTTCTCCTGGATGTATGACTTTCAATTGGATTCTCACTAGATATTGTGGTTGCTACTAATTTGATCTTGCATTCTTTTACCAACTCTAATCACCAGATCATCCTAACAGAATTCCATCAAGGTGGATTTCTTGATTTTGAATAGGGTTTGTCCTCAATGAGAATAACTAGGCCACAATTATCTCATAACTTCCTTTACATAAGAGTTCAGATCTGCGCCCCACAACGTCCCACAGCATATACCCACCATGTATTAGGACATCTTCCAAATGATGACATCATCAATTCTGGTATTATCATCGGGAGATATTCCCAATGCACGGTGTGGATGTGCTGTGAAACATTGTCGGGTGCCCCTTGTGAGGCACAGATGTGAACTCTTTACCATAAAGAATCATCTTATTCCATGTTTTGATCTTCCTGTCCCTTTTTTGGCTTTATGTTGTCATTTCTTTGAACATCTTCAGACTTTGACAATGCATCAGATCAATCTTTAGAGTTTAACCATCTTCCCTAGGAATAGTAGTATCCTCAGTCGGATGGACCTCAAATACGCCATTCCTATTGATCGTGCTAGGCATTATTTTTATACCATAGGATGTTCTTGAGCAATGAGCACCAACCTAAATGTGGATTTCCCCTTGATTCTCAGAAGAATCTTGGTGAATATTTTTACCTATCTCATCTTATGCAATAATAGTTTTAGGCACCATCACAAGAGTAGTCTTCTTAGCCACGACATTCTAGATTTCACCTTGACTCTAAGAAGAATCTTTATAAACATCATTACTTGTCTAATTATGCGCAATAACAATCTAAGGTGCCACCACAAGAGTAGCCTTTTTAGAAACATTATTATGAATACCTAAACTTTCACCGTTGTCATTAGGTTCAACTAAGGTTTTCAAAATTGAATCAGACAATGAATCGGTCAAGGGTCTGGTTCCTGGGTCAAACAGTTTGACCGTTTGAATCGAATAGACAATCCATTCTAACAAAAAATTAAAAATAAAAAATGGTCAAAACCATTAAACGGTTTGAATGATTTGACTGCCCGAATCAGCGGTTTGTTGACTAAATCAATAGATTTTTGGCAAAATAATGATTTTGGGGTAAAACAGAATCAGTCACCTGACCGGTTCCCAGTTTTTCCGGTCTGGTCGTCCAGTCCAGTCCGATTTTGAAAACCATGGGTTTAACAATGGGGGCATATTGCTTAATCATTGCCTTGCCTTTACCATTTTTTGCACCTTCATACATCTAAACTTGTATTTGTAGTCAAAATTGGCTGAATAACCAACTTTATAGCAGTTATCACAATAGGGAGCTAAGTTTTCATAAACAAGTTGTTGCCAAAACCCTTCTTAAACCAGTCCATGTCAAAACTATACTAGGGTGTGGTATTGCTTGAAAAGGTCAAGTTCAATACAAACTCATTTTACAGGTCCGATAGCCAAAGCAATAGATCAAAACAAAATAAAGTTTCAACAAAAAATTAATGGAAAGAAAGGGGAAAGGGATTCATATCAGAACAATCGGTCGATTCCATCTTGACTCGAATACTGGAACCCACTTGAACAACTAAAAATATGTAAACCAATTTCAGTGACATTTGGAAACATCATCGAAAATCGTCCAATATGCAACGTTTCTTGATTTTTGTAATGATTGTATCCAAGTAATTTCAAAATATATCACAATATAAATACAAATATGTATGGTACAAATACATATAAAATGATACAAAATATAAGGATTTGCACTCTATATATTTGTATTTCTTGGATTTTATTCTCACTATGGGTTTGATTGGTCAGTTACATGAGAAATTGCACCTGTACATTTGTTTTAAAAAACTTCCCTCTTATTAAAATCAGTTTTGAACTTGTCCCACATTGGAAAATTAAAAATTTTGTTTTGAGTTTTCAATAGGAGCTGATTTACACTACTTAGAAATAGAAGAGGAGAGTATGGAGGATTGCTATCGCGCAATGCACGCACATGGGTATGTGTGGCGCAATGACGCACACTTTGCTCGCACTTCAGAGTCTGGATCTCCTGCCCACAAGAACTCTTCCCATGCTTATCGCACTTCGAAGTCTCAATTCGTGGCTTTAGTTTTAGTGTGATGCTGGCCATTGATGTGGTCAACGGTCACGATTCAATCGGGTGTGATCAAGAGACACAATTCAAAGTTAACAGTCATTAACTATTAACAATCATTAACTGTTCAAGGTGCCTTTCTCTGAACCAACACTTTCCTTTTCTTCATAACTCTTCAGAAACTATTTAAGGAGCATCAATCAGACATCTCATATACAACTTCGAAATTCACTCACTCTCTCTCTCTCTCTCTTTGTGCAGTCTGCTATAATCTCACAGAAAGTTTCTTTGGAGACTACTTTGATGGTTGCAGATTCTCGCTCAAGGCTCTGTTGTATCTTGGGAACGGATTTGCTTGTAACCCAACAACAAATTCAGTAAAAACTGAATGGGGGCAAATAACGTTCTAAAGACAGTGTCTTCAAACACGCCTCAGAACTTCTCCTCAAAGTTTCAATAACCCCATTTCCCAATAATATTTATACTCCATCCAAACCGAGTCTTAAGCTTAGAGTGCAAATACATACAAATATATGTACAAATATATATACAAATACATACAAATATATGTACAAATATATTTATACTCCACCGAAATTGTACATATTTGTATTTGTACAAATACATATAAATACAAACATATATGGTACAAATATATACAAAACAAAAGATTTTGCAACTTATAATATAAATTTGTATTTGTGCTTCTTCCAAACTGAGCCTTAAAATAGGATAAAGGTTGATATGACGTTCTGCTCTTCTTCCAGCCTTCCGCAATGAATACAAGTAATATTACTCTCGGGATGTGAAGTTTTGTCATAAAAAACAAACCACGACGTCTATGACGACTCCATATGACCTCAGTCAGCATTACGAACGAGTATGACCACGACCTATTTAGCTAGTGATAGTGAATTAGAAGCTCCTAAGAAATTTTCTTTCAAAATTCAAATATGGTAGGCCGGTGGAATTGTTCAGTTGTTATCACAAGGACTAAAGTCTTTTCTCTTGCCCAAATGCAAGTTGTTATGTATTTTAAATTAAGGAACGAAGGAAATATTATATTAAAATAGGGATTTTTTTTTTTTTGCTTCATTTGCCTTTCAGTAAGTTATTTATTTGAGTAAATGCAATTATCTAGTTAAGTTTTTTTTTCGAAACATTTATCTGAGTAAGTGTATTTATCCATATTCTTTTATTTATCAAGTAAAGAAATTAATCTAATAACTATTTTATTCATAAAAATCCATTATTAAAAAGGGCAAGAGAAATACCCAAGGGGTATTATTATTATTATTTTAGAGTCATTTATTCCTTATAATTTTACATCATTTTTAATTATTAAGACCTGCCCTATATTTTCATAGTACTAAGAAGCTCGTTTTAAACTAAGTCGAGCCGAACTTGTCACAGAGAAGCTCGACTCGTGGCCATCCTAATACACATCATTATGAATTACTTCTTAATTATTGATCATTGCAAAGCTCTACTGACGCGATTTCTTCAGGTTTTAATATATACAAAAGAAAAAGGAAAAATGACAGTTCGGCCCATGGTCAAACAGTCTTCTAGAAATCTCGTTTGATCAAAGTGATAATACCCAAACACGTCATTGTTTATAGCCAAGAACAACCACTTGGATTAGGATGGGATTGACTGGACGCTTGATGGAAAAGAGGACAAAATTTTGAGGGAAAGCTCATAAACGATTTCAAACAAAGTCCTAGTGAACTTTCCCTTTTCACACTATTCAAATCCAGACCAGATACATCGTTCAGTCCGTAATGGTGAGCCAACTTAGAAGTCTATTCTCCAATAATATATAAATCGTCTCTGATCAGATTCTTCTGAACTCTCTCAACCCATATACTTTCCTCCCTGCCCTTCTCCATGATCGACAGCTGATCAACATGGGTATTAGAGCATCAGGGGCAGTTTTTCTCTTGTTTTGGTTTCCCTTTCTGGCAGATATCAAGCGAAGTTCCTGCGCTACCGACGTGGTTTGCAGCCCAAGAGAGAGACAAGCTCTCCTCAACCTAAAACAAGGTCTCAGTGATCCAACTAACTTTCTCTCATCTTGGGATTCCACCAGCAAAGAAGACTGCTGTAGATGGAGAGGAGTCGGCTGTGACAACAGAACGGGACATGTCGTTCAGCTCAATCTCAGAAACTCGTATGAAAGTTTCATCGGAGGTGACATAAATCACCATTTACTACAGCTGAAACATTTGCGGTATTTGGATCTCAGTGGCAACGATTTCGGAGGAAATCCGATCCCAGAATTTCTGGGTTCGCTTCAAAACTTGAACTACCTCAATCTCTCTCAGTCTGGTTTTGGTGGCACACTGCCTCCTCAGCTTGGCAATCTGTCCAGTCTGCGTTACCTCGACCTCGGAAATTCCGTAGGCTTAACTGTTGAGAATCTTGAGTGGCTTTCTCATCTCTCCCTTCTTCAACACCTGGACATGACTTCTGTAAGTCTCAGTCACGTAGATGATTGGTTACAGGTAATTAACAAGCTTCCCCATTTGTCTGAATTGCACTTATCCTCTTGTGGGTTAGCTAATTTGTCTCCTCTCTCCCATGTCAATTTCACTTCACTTACTGTCCTTGACCTTCTCTGGAACAATTTCACTTCCACCATACCAGATTGGCTGTACAATCTTACCAGTCTCACATACCTTGATCTTAGAATGAATAGTTTTCAAGGTACAATCTCAAATTCCATTGGTAACCTTGGATCACTCAGACATGTCTACTTGGACGTCAATGACCTCCATGGCAGCATCCCAAGAACAGTAGGAAAGCTCTGCAACCTGGAAACTTTGTGGCTGTCAAACAACAGGTTCACTGGAGACATCAGTACTGGATTTCTAGGAGACCCATCAAAATGCATCTTTGATAGTCTAAGAGAACTGCGTCTGGAGTGGAACCAATTGAATGGGACCATTCCCAAAAGTATTGGGCAACTTTCCAAACTAGAGTTTTTAGCCTTCTCTCATAACTTTTTTCAGGGAATTATCTCTGAGGTTCATTTTGCTAATCTAACCAGATTAAAGACATTGTATGGAACTTCAAACTCATTGATTCTGAATGTGAGCAGGAACTGGGTTCCTCCCTTTCAACTCACTGGCCTAGAAATAGGGTCTTGGAAATTGGGGCCCCAATTCCCTTCATGGCTTCAAACACAGAAAGATTTCTTTAGTTTAAACTTGTCCAACACAGGAATTTCAGATAACATTCCCAGTTGGTTTTGGAAATTATCGTCCAGTTTCAGCCTGATAGATCTCTCTTTGAACCAGATCAGTGGTCAAATCCCAGGATTACAGAACATAGAAAACTATGATGCAGCAATTTATCTGGGTTCCAATCGCTTCACCGGTTCAATACCCCGTTTCTCTTCTAATGTAGTCGAACTGGACCTTTCTGAAAACTTGTTTTCTGGGTCTGTCTCTCACTTCTTCTGTGACAATACGAGTCAAGCGAATAATTTGGCATATCTTGATCTCTCAAGCAATCTTCTATCAGCAGAAATTCCTGATTGCTGGACGAATTGGCCAATGTTGAGCGTTGTGAAGTTAGAGAGCAATAATCTAAGTGGGAACATCCCAATCTCTATGGGGTCTCTAACTCAGCTCCAGTCATTGCACTTGCGCAACAACAATTTGACGGGAGTGCTACCTTCATCTCTGCAAAATTGCACCAATTTGCTCACTCTTGACATCGGTGAGAATGAGTTCTCAGGGAGCATACCAGCATGGATGGGACGAAGCCTAGCACAACTTAAGATTCTTGACCTACGCTCCAACAAGTTCGGTGGTCGTATACCTCCAGAACTTTGTCATCTCGCTGAGCTTCAGATCATGGACCTTGCACACAACAAATTATCAGGAGCCATACCACAATGTTTCAGCAATCTCAGTGCCATGGTCTCAGACCAGAAATCAATTTACCACATTGGCTACGAAAGTAGCTTCCGGAAGTTTCAGGATACAGCCTCAGTGATGATGAAAGGAAGGAGTCTTGAATACAGTAAAACCCTCACCCTTGTGACAAGCATAGACCTTTCAGACAATAGTTTATCTGGACAGATCCCAGAAAACTTGACGAGTTTCTTGGGATTAAGATCCCTGAACCTTTCGATGAATCACCTTGTGGGAATGATCCCAAAGAAGATTGGTGACATGGGGTTACTTGAATCTCTGGATTTGTCAAGAAACCAACTTTCAGGTGCTATCCCTCAAAGCATATCGAATTTGACGTTTTTGAGTCACTTGAACTTATCATATAACAGATTGTCAGGGAAAATTCCATCAAGCACTCAGATTCTAAGCTTTGATGCAACCAGCTTTCTTGGAAACCAAGAACTTTGTGGGCCTCCGCTCACAGAGAAATGTGCTGGGAGCAATAATCAATTGCAGAACCCAACAACACCAACTGGTAGTGTGGATGATGATGATGGATTTAAAGAGAGTTTTCTTGTTAGTGCGGCGTTGGGGTTCTTGTTGGGTTTAGGTGGAGTTTTTGGCACCATGTTGCTTAATGAGTCGTGGAGGTCTGCCTACTTTAAGTTCTTTGTCAAGCTTTGTTGTGGTCCACCAAAAAGACGATACAGATAGAATCTAAAAAGATTGGTTCTTTTTTGATGAAAAGATTATTGTAAGCATCTTTATTGCTGATTTCAGTTACCCTAGCTCCAAGTTCTTGTTTTTCTTTTTGAGTGGTCGGATGCAATATATAATATGCATGTTCTTTGTATTTGAGGGTGGTCGTCCCTTGCTAAGAATAAAATTTGTGAGTATGTTCCTACTACGGTTAATTAGAAGTGCAAGTCGGGCATTCAATTTGACTGGGCCCATTCAAATTCTAACAAATGCATGCGAATGCAAATGTAAAATATTCAAGTTCTTTGTTAATTTGTTTTGGATTTTACTTTATTCTTCTGTTTATGTCTTAAATTACTTCATTTGTATTGTAATCAAACAAAATAAGCTAAAATTTGAAATAACAATAGGTCAGAATTTATACAAATTTATTTGCATTGCAACCAAACACAGCCTAAGAATTGAGCCTTGGGCCCGAGGACAAGGTCAAGTTTGATATGTCCAACAGCTTAGCCCACAGTGAAATTTGATGCAGACTTGAGTTGGGCTCAGCTCCCAGTGGGGCTCAGGTTGGTTATTGAGCTCATATTGAAATCTGACATTTATATGTGTATAGAATTACAAATTAGGTTGGTTCTGGCTCGGGTTTGGCCCACCCAAGTTCCTCCCCTAATTACACATTATTGGGGGATTAAGGGGTGGGGACGGAACAGGTGCAAAGTTGACCTTACCGGAGAGAGCCCCCATTACAGGTTGGATCCCATGACTCATATTTGGAGGGATGCGCATCTCAGATTGGGTATATGGTCTTCCCCTTTTTTCTTCATATTTTTGTTTATCTTTGTATCTTTTTACACCACATGACAAATCACCATAACCCATGCTTTTATTTACTAAAAGGCTAAAACCCTTACATTTTCTCTTTCCCCCCAAAGTTTTTCTTTCAAAAATTCTACCCCCCATCTCTAAAATCTATTCAGCAATTAAGGCGGTGTTTGGAACCGCTTAAATCTGATTTGGTCGCGTTCGGCTAGGTGCGGACGGGACCGGTCCTCTCCACACCCCAATATAGCATGGACAAGTTCCACCCACACCCCAATTTCTTATCCACGGTAATATCTCATGGTAGGGGACTGTCTACACTTGGTTTTGATCCCCTACTTCACACTTTCCCTAAAAGGCTACCCTATTGTCTATTTCACATTTTAATATTTTTGTCAATGAAATATTAATTATTTTACCTAACTTTTTATTTTTTTTAATTTTAATGTTTTATCAATAAAATTATATTTTAAATATGTAAAATATATCTTTTGAATTTTTAATTATTTTACTATTGTTTTTATAAAAAAATTAATATTAATTCATTGATGCATTTTTCAATATATTTATCATATAAAATGCAAAAATTAGATATTTATGATTAACTATGTAGATCAAGGTTTTCGAACCGCCGTTGACCTATACGGTCATACCGTTCAACCTGGGAACCGTCCAGGTAAGCGGTTCCATTTTACCCCAAACCCGGTTTTTGGCTAAAAACCGTTGAAAAAGTCAACAACCCGTTGACCTGAGCGGTCAAACCATCAAATCGTTCAATGGTTTTTTACCATTTTTATTTTTATTGTTTTTATTTTTTAATTTGTTTGTCAGAATAGGTCGTCCGTTCGAATCGGACGGTTGGACCATCAACCCAGAAACCGATGGCCAGAACAGTTCCGTTTTCAAGTCATTTTTTAAAATGTTGGTGTAGATCATTCATAAAATGTACATGAGATACATGGAATCAAAAAAGTTCACACCACACTATAGAACACCACTGTGACACGGTTTGTCCATAGTTCAGAACAGTTGCGAACTGTGATGTGGTGTGGATTAATCCCTGCCATAGGGTGTGGTATAAACCAGTCTATACCTACCAATTTCTCATCCATACTATAGAACACCCCCTAAAACCACCAACTTATATTGGCTTTCTGTTTTTATTACTCATGCCCCCGCATTTATGACTTGTTGGTTTATATATTGAAGCAAAGCCCATAGTGAGGGGGACTTCTACATAAAATGGCTAGCCATCAACTAAATGGTGTTTGGCCCACTCAAAAATCTTGTTCTTTGCTAATTAAGTTATTGTCTTATATCCTTCTTGTTAGCACAGTGATGGCACCACCGAAGAACAAAAGCTAATTGTAAAGTAAGATTATCTGATATATGAATACAAAATGCAATAAAATCATAATGAAAATTTAGCACAAATCTATAACATATACTATGATATTTCAATACAAGAGAAAGGATTAGCCAAGATGTACCCCCCATTCCTACTCCTGTATAGCCATTAAACCAACTAATGGTGGCTCAGTTGATCAATAGGAACTTTGACTTCTTGTAGTAGAGACCTGGCCTAATCAAATCCTGGTGCCTTTAGGGTTGAGGGGGTTAAGGGGATGAGGGATTGACTAGCCCCCATATATTGTGTAGCCCCATGAAGCCAAAAAGCACTCCATGGAGACAAACACTTGTTGATGCTCTACCTGTAGAGACAGTGAAATTTAGCCATAGGGCTATTTTTGTACTTTTACTTTTCTTTGTTATATATCTATTCTTTGTATTATCTCTCTCTTGTACATTAAGGGCAAATATGTCCTTTGCAAACTTAAAATAAATATATCTTTTAGGGTGTTGGCTGACTAAAAGGTGTCGTACCCACCATTCGGTTGTCCTCTCTCTGTCTGTCTCTCTCTTTCTTTTCTAACTTTCGAACTGACTCTGACATGGTATCAGAGCAGGTCACGACCTGAACTTCACTCAACACCTCGGCCACTAGTGATTCAAGAACTCCCTAACAGTATTTGGAAGTTCTTGAGTATTTTCTTTACTTCTCTTCCTGAATCGGCTACAGATCTGAACTTTATAGATATGTTTTCTGGACTATTGCGCCACTAGGTTAAATCTTTTTTTCATATCTCCCTATAGAGACATCGGATCAGCTTGAAATTTTAGATTTGGTGTCGCCCAGAGTAGATCTATTGAACCTCTTTGGTTTGGTTTGGATTGGTTTCGTCTTTTAGGGGTTTTGATCCACTTTTTAGTTCAGAAGAACTCTACAGTTGCCTTTTTTGGACATAAGAAAGGGTGTTCTCCTATTAAATTCAACAGTACAAACTACGCACTATGGAAGTTTAATTTTCAGCTCCGTGTCGAAGCTAAGGGTCTTTGTGGGTGAGGAATTTGGTCTTTAGGTTGTGTGTGTGTGTGTGAGAGAGAGAGGAATTTGGTCTTTAGGTTAGTATAATCATTGCAACAAGTTAAAGGACTGGATCTGGTTGTCCTGGCTTGGCCCTACTATAAGTGCTTGAGATCATATCAAATATTCAAGCAGTGTTTCAGGACTTGATCTGTGGCTATGGCCGAAACCTGTTAACAATTGCCTCTACTCCATTAATTTGAACTTGTACCCATTTAAGCAGTTGGGAGTCTGGGACCACATTCTTCAGAGAAAATTAAATAAACCAATTCTTGGGAAATATGTACTATAAAAACATTATCATCAATATAGCTTAATTTTCTTCTAAAAAGTTAATCAGATAACTTTTCTTTTGAGAATGATGAATGAAACAATTATACAAAGGAAAAAATCAATTAAAAATTAGCTCTAACCAATAAGCAATTGATAACCCTGACTTCCTAGACAGTCTACTAAAAATCAATTCTTCCATTCCAGATGACTATAAATGAGAATCACATCAGGACCTTCACATGACTATAAATGAATGGCTTGAATAAAGACGAATCCTGTAAGGTCCATATAGAACACAACTTTATGACATAAATAATATATGTCAATTCTTCCATTCCAGATAAACAATATTCCATAGGCACGGGCATGCATGCATTTGCAAAGGCATATAGATACATAAATGTATTTCTTTTTCTTTTACACAGATAAACATAATTGCTAATGAAGAATGAAATCTACATGGCAACTTTCTTAGTTTTCTCAGCGGAACAAACTTTGCTACAAATGCCAATGCAATATGTACACCAAATATAAAATCCCCAAGCTTTCAATCCCTGTGAAAATACAAGAAAATTCTTCAACTATAGGAGCGAACATGTAATTTGTTCATGATGTCATTAAATTAGCCAAGAGCATATAATTTGTGATAGAATTCCACCAAGAACGTGATAATTATTCAATATGCCATAAAATCAAATAAGAAGGGACTAAATTCTTCTTATTCCATTTGTCTTTGTTTCCAAGTATGTCCTATGGATCTATACAATAGTCACTCCCATTTTGTTTTTTGTAATAGTGTGCTTTTTTTTGTTATGCTACTAATAGCTCCTTCCCCAAACCTAACTAAAATCAAATGCATCAAAGAGGCCTATAAAAGGCTTCTAAGGTCCTAACCCTGCCCAACAACTATTCTAAATTTGACTCTTTTAATAGGTATTACATGACAGTATCAAAGTGTGAAATCCCCTATTCAGGAGAGCTCTAAATGATTAGGTGGTGTCTCAACTTATGGGTTTAATGCAAAAACTGTGTTCGGCTAGTCCCAATTAGTACACTTGGGAATGGGAAGAGGATATGGAGGTGGAACAAGGATGAGGTGTTCTAAGTTAAATGCTTTTTTGAGAACCTGATTGGAGTTAGTGTAGAATAATCTAATAATTATCTAAATGTAAGAAGCCCATATCACCTCCTAAAAAGATGGAATTTACATCATATTTTCAGGAAACAAGAAATCATTAGATATGGTCCAATATGACAAAGTGATATTTCTTCTACTCATTATTAATGGTAGAGAAAAGACTTAAACTTACCCATATGCATCAACAATGTCTTGAAAAGCATAAATAAATTTATTTGTTTGGAAATATGTTAGTGTAGATTCCTTCATATTCAAGGCCTGGAATATGGATCCAACTTTTGAGTTGCTGTCCTACTCATTGTAAGGCATCTTGAATCTGCACAAAACAAAGAATGATGTATTAAGGGTTTAGTAAAATATTTTGACTTAAAGATGATTTATTAAGGGTATGATATATGTTGAACTAGAGAAGTATTGAACATCTAAAGGAAGAATACCTGATTTGTAGCAAAAAGAAAAATAAAAGGCTCCAATCCTCTACAACAAGAAGTTTCTTTGTTAAATCAAAGCTATGCATTTTCAGTGTATGATATATATATATATATGGATTTTTCCTTCCTCACCTTCAAGGTTTCAAAGATAAAAAGTTCAAGTATTAAACATGAATTCAACTAATAAATACCACTAATAGCTTTCTATTTTTTTAGCTTAACGGAAAAAAATGGATAGAGATGGGAAGATGAAAATTCCATGGAAGAAATTCCCACATTACAACCCTTAAGAAACAAGAAACTCCATTTAATAGAATAAGTTTGGACTGGCCAAAAAGCTCTACCGTTTATATTCGTAGTTGATAATCTTTAACAAATTGTCTTGATGATGCATCAGCCCAACACCAATAGTAGTCTTAAGCTTGTTATTGATCAAAAAAAAAAAAAATAGCAGTCTTTAGCTCAAAAATTTTCCCAGATACCTAAAAGTTGGAATTTTCATAGATTTTCATATTATGCCATAGCAGAAATTTTCTTTTTATAATAAAATAAAAATTCAATAAGAAAAGAAGTATAAAATATATAAGCAGACCCAATTAGGCTTGTATTTTTAAACTATGGATTGAGATTGGATTAGCAAACTTAGGCTTTGACCTTAGGTTGGGCTAGGCCCAGAACCAAGGCCCAAGTCTTAGCATTGGGACTGGGTTGGTCCAAAACCCAACCTAGCATGACCAAGTGGCATCCCTTCCCATATGTGCCTCTTTTCTTAATAAAAAGTGTTGACAGGTGTATTATATGTACTATACGCAGGTTTAGTGCCCGCAGGGGTATTTTTGTAATTTTGTAGTCCTTTTGTGTTGTACGACCAGTATAGTATAAATACAAATGTAGGTTTTCAAGACTGCTATTCAGTCTTGACCACTAAGAGATTTCAGGTTCGATGAGAAGAGAGTGAAGAAGAAGTAGAAGAAAGAGTGGTGAAAGAGCAATAGAACACAATTTTTGAGGAGAAGAACAGAATGCCAATGTTCTGCCGCCGCCACTTTAAGTTAATATATATAGGTTATGCTAGTTACATGAAAGGGCATATCTGCCCTTGGTGTTTACATCATAACTGCTAACAAATAACAAACAATATAGAACTGAAACTAGAAATAACAGAATAGCAAAATAACCACAGCGGTGACTAGATACATTCTACCCTACGGACAGAGTGGGACCACAGCTATGG